GCCTGTCGGGGCCTGGGTTTCAGCTGTCCACACCACAGCAGTGGGCAACGAGCTTAAAGCCCCTGATAGCTCTGGGCACTGACTCTCACCAGTGGCTATGGATGAAGTCACAGGTGATTTTCAGCCAGCCCCGGTAATCCTGTTTTAAGAAAATAATCCTAGACTCAGAAAAGTTCACTTTCATTTTCTGTAACTACAGAACAAGGCCAGTATTTCAGCCCTCTTTTCTGAAACCATATTTTTATCATACTATGTTATTTTGTTTTGTTTCTGTTTTCGTTTTCACTGATGCCTCAAGGCAAATAGAGTAATAACTAGAGGCCCAAGATTGTTTTACACAGAGGACAAGTTATGATTTTGTCTACCTACTAACTGCAGCAGTAGGCTCAAGGATGTTGAGGACGGCACAAGATAACAGGGTTCAAATCTGTTGTTAATAGGGTCTCTATGAGTTGTTCTCAACTCAAAGGCCCCTGACAATGACCTATCATCTTTGCATGGTGTCACAGAGTCAACATCTTTTCTTTCCTCTTTAATGCTAGATGTTTAATGGATGCATTTAAAAACATTCTGCTGAGAAGAGGTTAGTTCACCAGATTGCTGAGGAAGTCTAAAGCATTTAAAGAAAAAATAGTTGAGAAGATTCCTGTGTAATCACGGTTACCACTTATCCTAATTTCCAGCTATTTTATATTTCATATATGTGTGTCTTGGAAAAGAAAATGAAAGATAAATTGTTTTAAAGTGTATATGTATGTGTGTATTTCATACAAAGAAAGGTTTTATGAAGATTTTCAGTATCTGTAGTTGTGTGCTGACAGTTGAAATTGCAGACATGTAGCAAGTATTAGAAGAATGCTCTAAATATAAATAAGAACCAAAATGTCCAATAACAGAGAAATAAAATGTGAATCCTCAGTATAATTGACTGTTGTGCGGCCATGAAATCATGTTTTTTAAGACCATGTATTGAGGTTTGAGAAATGTTTACTGTCCAATATTGGATCAGAGATAACACCCCAAATGTGATATTAATTGTGTCTCTAAACACATTCCTTTTATGCATTTAAATATTTGTCCATTTATTTTCATGTCTCATTATGTGGAAAAAGTAGCTGTGAACTAGCAGCCTCTTGTCTAAGTCAGTCAGGGCATGATAGGTGGGCCTTTGTATTTAAAAGTCGGTTGAGCCCTGACCAAGTCTCCAGTTTGGAGACTTGCATGTATGAAGAAGTTGGATTCTGGAGGGTAGGTTCTCTTTGTTTTAGTTGAAAGTCAGGTGTAAACTGTTTGGTTGTTTTCTTATTTTGTTCACAATTGAGTGTGAGCTGATTGGATTTACTGGCTTTAGCTAACAATCAGCTATGAGCTGGAAGCCTCTTGTTTAAGTCATTCAGGACCTCGTGGGTGTGCTTTCATATTTAAAAGTTATGTATGAAACAGTTGGATTCTGGAGGGTAGGTTCTCTTATTTTAGTTGAAAGTCAGGTGTTAATTATGTTGGGAAGTACATTCTTCTAAGTGGTGTAGCACTGGTCTGTTAGTTTACTGAAATAACTTGGGGTTGCTGTGATGCTGAATGCTGTGTCATTGGTGTGTCAAATGCCATAATGGTAACCCTTGGTGGACAGAATTTGTTTGTGCTCCCAGATTAAGACAGGCTTAGAAATAGGATTGGAATCCTCTTCCTAAACATGACTTTGGAAACTCAGTGAACATTAGAGAAA